CTTTTCCAACCTAGTTGATTCTATGATTATTCCTACACAAATGCCCGTCCTTGCTCTCAATCTATTGTGACTTTTCATCAGGCTTCACTATTATAGCAGATGCTCAATACTCCATTCTAGACAAAACTGAGATAGTTTCCCTATTAAGGGAAACTCAAAAGTTCACAAAAGGAAAATACCTTTGTTCAGATTGGGACAAAGATACTATCAGTTACAGAAAATTAAATTAAGTATTCATTTCACACCAATCTGTACTAATAGGAAAAACCTGCTGTTGTGAAAGCCAGGACACATTTCTATGTTACTTTGATATTGAAAGTATAATAACAATACAGCAGATAAATTAAAGCTGTTCCCTCTTCTATGAATCATTCATTTATTCATAAACTTATACTAGGAATCTTGAGAAGAGTCCAGCTGTCTACATTCATATAAATATTTCCAATTAAGATTATCTGCAATGTCTGCAATGCAGTCAAAAACCAGTTGAGAGTAGAGAAGAAAAGATGAACAAGTATGAGGCCATTCACTCCAGGCTCAGTGAGTAGCTCAGAACAAGCAGAATACAATAAGAATAGATATAGACAGCTTTTATTAGACATTAATCTTTGTTAGTTTCCCTTTAACATACAGGAAGGGCAGAGTATACAGTAAATTTGGATTTAATATGGAGCTATGGAACTATGAAAAAGAAAAGCATAAATGTGTATAAGCAAACATGTAACAATGGTCCCAAGCAGAAAGGGAGAGGAAGATGAACATCATAGCCCTGCCAGGAAAAGAACTCCAGATGCTGACAACTTACTGAAAACCTCATCCCAATGCCAACACCAGAGGGAAACCACCTACCTTAGGACTCAGAGAAACAGTGGAGGGGTGACCACAGCACCAGGCAAAGGAGTAAAAACTAAGAAGTGTGTGTGTGTTACTATTTCAATTGTACACTATTGAGTCTTCTCCTGTATATTAGTACTCTATTTTATTGTTTCTTTACAGTAATAAATAGATCTAGAATAATAGTGATTCTTGAATTAGACTGTTAAGATTTCCATTATACTAATAATAAAATCTTGGCTTTACTTATATAGATAAGGTGTGCTTCCTTTAACCATAAACAAGATTATGAGTGTAACAATTTGCAACTTGTTTTACCTGTGCTCTCTTCCTTTCCCCCATTTTTGTAGTGGAGAAGGATTTGCTGCCATTTACTCTTCAGTCTCTTCCTCACATTTGCTCAACCTTACCTTGAGTTCAGCCTTGCCAAATTGTCATAGAAATTTATCAGAAGAATGATTGAAATTCATCATTCCTTTCAACAGACAGTGATACTTTACTTACAAAAGGAGACAAACAAGTGAAAATGATAAATGTAGGCAACAAGGAGTAGCACAGGCAAGGTCAATCACACCTTTGGTTCACCCACCCTTTAGAAACCAAGAACTGAATGAAGGGTAAAAAGTGGCTATTTCAGAATTAATAAAAAGCAGCAATGCTTTATCACATAACACCCAATAAACCAAGGAACACACATCACACAAAAGTTTACCTTTACACCAAGTTTGCTTCAGCAAAAAAAATAACAAGTCTACTACATGGTGGAGAAAGTACCTTGTTGGATGAGGGCTTCTGCTGCAGGCTCCCCAGAACCTATGTTTACATACTCTTCATTAGGATGCTTTCTGTTGTAATGCCTCTTCAGGGAGCCAGAGATGTTGCAGGAATAATGGCAGTGTGCACAACGGAAAGGCTAGGAGCAGAAAGGAAAAATCAGACCATATTTCTTGTCCTCTTCAGGATACAGGTCTAAGCTGCAGTGTTATGAGAAGCCATGCTCATTTCTGGCTTAGGCATGTTCCAAGGAGACCTTCCAAAATTAAATATAAATGGAAGTTGTAACTAAATGTTACCTAAAATTTGGTACTTTTTATTACATGACACCAAGTATTCTCAACATTGTAAGATTATTATCTACTATTCCTAATTCAGGAAACTCTGTTTTCATAATTGATGATCACAGGCCTGACCATGAGAAGACTTTTCTGCTACAAGGAGATGACTCAGACGCCATGAGCTCTGGCCTCAAAAGGGAGTTAAGAGAGAGAAAACAACCAGAGGTACAATGTGATTGTGCAGAGAACCTGATTTCACACGTAACCATACCTGACAGGGTTGATCCCTTTCCTTTCCTTCTCTCTCCAACATGCTTCCAACAGCTCCTCTTTCATTGGCACTTACATTCATTTGACCATTTGGTAAGGTACGTTCTGAGAACTAAAATAACTGACTTTTAAGGATATATCTGCCTTCAACTGACAGAAAGAGACATTTCTAAAGAAAAAGGTTTAGGAAAACAAGTGTTTGTGCCTAATGTCAGCATTTGAGAATAACCTTCTGACTGAGATATGTCACAGTTACAGGAAGCTTGACACGACCATTAGGGTCCTGGAAAAGAATGCAGACATTGACCAAAGTCCTAGGAGAAAAGTCAAGCATCCCTGTATGGGACACAAAATGTTTCATACACAGCAACCAGGCCTGAAAATGGTTCATAGAGAAATGTTTATTAAGAAGCTGAATTTAAAGCAGGGAAATGTCTGCAGTCAGGGTCCATTGACCAGAACATTCCCCTAAGCTTATTGCTCATGATCTTCCATCCAGCTCCAAACAGCAACAATAAGGAAGAAAAGTGGTGTTTAGATCCCCTTAACCTTATATTTAAGAGGGTACTGTAAAATTCAGCTATTCCTTTTTTCAGAGGGATACTCTGCTTTTCTGTTGCTGAAACTGTCTTCAAGAAAATATTTCTGACAGACTTCTGTGTTCTTGCACCAACTCTCTACATATTTGCATGTCCTGTGTGTTATCTGCTATTGGATAGCAGGATTGCAAATTCATGGAACTTGGAAATACCATTGAATGGTTTGGACTGGAAGGGACCTTGAAGATCATCCAGTTCCAACCCCCTGCCACAGGAGTGACACCTTCCACTAGAGCAGGTTGCTCCAAGCCCCTGTGTCCAACCTGGCCTTGAACACTGCCAGGGATGGGGCAGTCACAGCTTCTCTGGGCACCCTGAGCCAGCGCCTCAGCACCCTCACAGGGAAGGACTTCTTCCTAATATCTAATCTAAATCTCCCCTCTTTCAGTTTAAAGCCATTCCCACTTGCCTTATCCCTACACACCCTTGCAAAAGCCCCTCTTCAGCTTTCTCATCTGCCCCTTTAGGCACTGGAAGCTGCTCTAAGCTCTCCCCAGAGCCTTCTCCAGGCTGAACAATCTCAACTTTCTTCTTGGGAGATGGATTATATTATCATTAGGTCACATAACTACTGACATTCCTGAGTTTGATATGTTGCAAACAACTGTCCCAGAAGGAGGCAATGTGTAACTAGTAGTTTTTGAACTCCTTTTGACAAATACTCCCAACTGACCTATTTCAGTGTTTTGCAGTTCTCTTGATAATGCATTGAATAGGCACGCTCATACGCAGGCTGACAGAGGATTGAAAAGAGGTGCTGAGTCAACAGTTTTAAATCTAATCCTGAGGTTAGAACCAGCTATATTTAAAGAACTGCATTATGAGTACATTCATCCTGTTAGCCATTAAAAAAAAAGGATGTATTTTCATTTACACAAAATCCTTTTGAAAAGATAAGTCCACAGCAAAGCTACGTACTGAAGACAGAAAAAGTGTTTGTTCAAAATATATCATCTCCTCAGATGACTTACTTCATTTTCTTTTATGTCTTGTCTTCCAAAATTTAAACCATGAATCAAAAGACTGTCTTCCTTTCTGTTTTATGGAGGTACATAGCATTGGTGCTTATTAAGAATGGTACTCCTTATAGAAGCAGAATAATTTGCTAGATAATGAGAGATGTTGCATATGAAAATAGTATGATGTTTTCAGTAAGAAATATGCTCATTGCCAAGAGAAAATGCTACATCAACATGAACATTTTCATACATACAAAATACTGGATTTTACTGGGAAAGCAACTCATGTCACTTCTATTTCCTCAATATAAGATTTCACAATTCATTACATCAAAACCTACCATGCTGAGAACCAATGTGAAATTTAGGAATAAAATGACAGAACAGTTTATTAAAGTAAAACACATCTCTAACCTGAACACTTCACAGAAACATTAACAATCCCTAGAACTCTTTCCAAGATATGCTTCAGATAAATGGGGTGGTTTAGAATTAATTCTCTTCAATTTTCTTCTAGCGTTATGAACTTAACTGTGGTACAATAGGCTGGCAAACCTTCAGAGAAAATTAAGGTGGGCAATGAACAGTGATGGATGGGATCTGCTTCCCCACTTCCCTAGGACATTTTAAGGTACATATTAGATCAGTTCTCTCAAGGGCTGACAATCACAAAAAAAACAATAATGTTTGGTTTATATTGCAGCATGTATTTTTGGCAAGTAAAGATACTAATTAATAAAGATACTAATTACAAATTGTCCTGTATCAAAAGTCTGAATATAAAGTCAAAATTCCTGAAATATTAAGATGTCAAGATGCGTAACTGTCACCAAACAGGAAAATGTGCCAGTTTTAAAACTGTTGTCTGAAGTTCCACACATTTCTAAATGACTTATCAATAAGCACGATTTATATGTATTCTTACCTTGAAAGAGACATGTTGTTCCATATGACGGAGGAGCTGTGGTTTTTGGGCAGCTGTATAGTCACACACTGTACATTTAAACTGCTTTCCTGAAATGGGAATAGAAAATGGAATAACTTTTTTCTATTTAAGGTCAGAAAATGACTGATTATATTTCTTGATATGAACAATACTTGAAGCCTGGCACTTACTCTGCAAAATTTTGGTTAAATAGAGCTAAGAGCTAAGAAAAAAGGCTTGAATGTCATCTTTAAATTATGAGCATTAAATAGTCTGGGGGAGTCACTTGGGAAAGAAGAAAAAGAATGGTTACAGTGCAGCCTAAATGAAAGAAGGAAATCAATTATTTACAACTGCAGGTGCAGTTATTTTGCTACCTTTAAAATAGATTTGGAAATCTTAATACACAGGTGTTTGTTTATGTTCACATGTTTTTACCTACTTCTCTCCCGAGCAGTGAACTGTTATGATTCAAATACATTTTCCCTTCAAAGCACTATCTCTCCAAAACCAGGCTTTCTCCTTATGATTTAAAATAACACAATTTCCTTCCTTTCATTCTCTGGGGTTCATACTCCTTTTCTCCATTATTTCATCTTTAAGACTCTATCAGTGCTGTTACCTCCAGCCAAATAACAAGATGTATTAAATAGAGAAGGACTTCATTCTTGTATATTAACTACTCATAGCTGGCAAAATGTATTTGACTTGATGTGGAATAAGAACGTATTAAAAACTACTCCAAAAGCAAAAGAAGCAAAATGGAGATTGGAGAACAACAATGCAAAATATTCTGTATTATCCTGAAGAGATCAGATTTCTTTAGGGGGGAAAAAGTTACAAGTATTTTATACTAAGTGTGAAAGTTTCCCTGAGACAGAGCTAAGACAAACCTTAATACAATTTCTGACATCGAATTAATACAATGAAACCCAGGCTTTCTGGTTTATTTCTAATCACAAACAGTAATAAGCCCATACCGGAATTGTTTTCTATCACACCGCTCTTGAGAAGTCTGTCTTCTGAAGAAATAAAAAGCAGGCAGAAAACTACTTTATATTCCACTGGTTAAATTGACCTTGCAGGGCTGATATTTGAACAAAAATTGCCTGGATTCACAAGTCGGGAAGACAAGACTCATAAACAGCAAAACATCTTTCAACTTCCTTATTTGTGAAATACCTGAAGAACACTGGATGTGCGCTAGTGAGAACTTTTAAAGTGCTGTCACTATAGAAAAGGACACTGGGCAAAGAGAAACTGTCAGCAGTCAGGAGGCTGAAAGTCCCTTGACAAATCTTACACTATGTTCCTGGTGACAAATGTCACCTCATTTTTCACAAGTGTTTGAAATGCACAAAGAGTTTATTGGGGTAGACTGAGTGAGGAAAATCTCTTAAGACTCCACAGACAGTGAGATTCTGTTTCTGCCTGAGCCAATGGCAAAATGCATTTTCCAAAGGTATAGGGAATTTTCCTGGAACATTTTTGCAAGTGTAAAAAGCAAGGCAAAAGAGCCTAAATCTTGGATTTGTCTCAGTCAAAGAGGGAGGTGCATCAAAAAGGAACATGCAGTCACTTCAGTTATTGCAGAGGGTGATGACAGTGTGAAGCCAGATAAAAAAGGCTCCTGGTAATAACATTGCCTCTAGAGTCAAGGTTTCAGCCTGACCTAGCCATAAATGATAAGAGAATATAGTTCCATGCATGCAAATAGATGTTTAAAACTAACTTCACACCTTTAAGCCAAATCCAGACAAGGCCAGCTCCTGCCCAGCTACAGTGCCAAATTTCAAAGCAGCCTCAGCTGAACTGGAGTAATGGCTTACACACACATATGTATTTTGTCGAAGAAGTAGAACTAACCCACAGGTAAAAAACAAATTCAACTTTAATTGCTGAATTTCACTATTTGGACACACCAGATGGTGAAAACAAAACAGAAAGGATTTGAACTGAAACCTCAACCAGAGTTGTTTCTTTAATAGTCTAATTGTGCTCCGAATTTCCTTTTAATTCAAATGCAATCTGCCTCCGTCTCCCAGCCAGGAATCAGCTGAGGATTGCACTTGATAAGTAAATTCTTCATTCTTGCATGTGAAGTTTAGATGTATGTGCAACACCTGCTTGATACCGACCAAGTTGTTTCAAAATATTGGAAAGTACTTCTGGAATAACAAGTGATTTACTAGCCCATGGTAATACTACAGTAACTATAAGCTTCCTGTAATACAGAATCATAGATTGGTTTGGGTTAGAAAGGGCCTTAAGATCAACTAGTTCCAACCCCCTGCCACAGGCAGGGACACCTCACACTAGACCATGTGGCCCAAGGCTCTGTCCAACCTGGCCTTGAGCACTGCCAGGGTTGGAGCATTCACAACTTCCTTGGGCAACCCATTCCAGTGCCTCACCACCCTCACTGTGAAGAACTTCTTCCTTATATCTAACCTGAACTTCCCCTGTTTCAGTTTAAACCCATCACCCCTTGTCCTATTGCTACAGTCCCTGATGAAGAGACCTTCACCAGCATCATATCAATGCAAAAGAGATCATCTCCTTCACTTATACCTGCAGATATAAACATAAATAAGTATCTGACAAAACCTTCACCTAGATTCTAAAGATGTAAGAGAGCTTCATGTGCTTTCTGTGAAAGGCTAATGCTAATGAATATGCAATTTTTAATAAAAATAATATAAATGAAATGGTCGATAGAGTGAAATGAGGTTTCACAAGGTTGCACCAGTAACAAAGACAAGCTCCTAAGTCATAATGAAGCTCTGTACAGCTTATCTTGCTAAATCGTTTCTTTCAATTTAATAATCACAGAGGAATAAAATATTGTTCTGTCCCAAATTTTGATACAGAAGATGATATTTTTCTGGATTTGCATCTCACTTCTTTCTGTTATCACAAAAATATTAAGATTACAGAGCAAACTCAGGTGATGCACATGTGCCTGTAGAGAACGTGCTCAGGCTTGCCACTGGCTGGGTAGACACAGAACTGCAGCAGCCTTGTCTCTCTTGGGCTACTGGGTGCACCAACTCCTAACAATATTCTTGCAGAAGAAAGTAGTAAGAAACTTAACTGTGGAACTATTTGTGCTTGTAAATTTCTATTGAGATCAACAACTGTCTGTAAGAATATGAAGGGATATAAAACAAACATGAAATTTCAGAAGAACCAACTATTCTGGAGACAGCTGGTTTCCTTTCACAGATACTAATTTTGCAAAGGTTTGAATTATTTCAGTGTCTCATAGGGATAAACAAAATCTGTAAGCAGTACTTTGTTCAACTGAAAAATGCTTGTTAGCAAGGCCCTATAGAACAGCCAGTATGTACTGCCTTGGAATAAACTTGCATTTAATAAACATACACTTACCATCAGCAGTATGAAGGAGTTTATGGCTCTTCAAAGTGCCTTTTGATTTGAACTTTTTTCCACACATGTCACAAAGGTGTGTTTTCTCAGTGCTGTGACGATTCATATGGGCTTTCAAGTTGCTCTTGCTGCGAGTGGCGTACTCACAGAGAGAACATTTGAAGGGTTTGACACCTACAAATAAAAATATATACTATGAAACAAGCAAGCTGGACCTTGTGGTGAGAGCCAGGACATTCGCTTGAAAGAAACTTCAGCTCATGTGAGCAACATGAACAAGGTCCAACAGTTTAAAATCCGCTATCTGCATTCAAGTTTTACCTAAAGCATGTGTGTAAATGATATCGAGCTCTTGACAGCATCATGTAACTTATTGAGAGAAAGGAGGTTTGTTTTTAGAATGAAGTACTTCCCTACTGAAGCCAGGCACTGACTTTAACCAAAGAAATACTAACGTTTTGGTCTTGGTGTGTCCATCTTCCATTTAGAAGTAGAATTCGATGCCTAAAGTGATGCCTAGCTGGTATATGTACCAAATATCCCTCTAAAAGTCTTCAGATAACTATCATAGAATCATAGAACGGTTTGGGTTGGAAAGGACCTTAAGATCTAGTTCCAACCCCCTGCCACAGGCAGGGACACCACACACCAGACCATGTCACCCAAGGCTTTGTCCCACCTTGCGTTGAACACTTTTGTCCAACCTGGCCTTGAACACTGCCAGGAATGGAGCATTCACAGCTTTCTTGGGCAGCCTGTTCCAGTGCCTCACCACCCTCACTGTAAAGAACTCCCTCCTTATATCTAACCTGAACTTCCCCTGTTTAAGTTTAAACCCATCCTGCCTTGTCTTATCACTACAGTCCCTGAAGAAGAGCCCCTCTCCAGCATCCTTGTCAGCCCTCTTCAGATATTGGAAGGCTGCTATCATTCTCCACTTAATACAATAAAGAATGAAGAAGCCTGTTTTAAGGAGGACTGGTTAACTAGGTACGTGTGCAAAGCTGTGCTTTACTGTTAGTTACTATCAGGCTGGCTAATGGCTCACATAGTAGTATTTTGGTTTTATTTACTATTTTTATCTCCCTTGGTAAGATGATAGCACTTACAATTTCACTTCTCTCAAAGTGAAGAAGCATGTAATAGAGAGACAACACAGTATGTCATCTAACAGGTCCACAAGAACAAAGTAAATCCTTCAAAGAGAAGTTGAATAAATCTGAATTGGCAGAGTAGTTCAACAGTTTCATGAGGCTCTGGCAGTTTTAGAATGATATTCATGACCTTAGAACTAGATTTACAAGCATGAGGAATTACAGCCTACTTTAAGCAGACTTGGTTGCACACTTTGATTTAGAAATAGATTTCTATTCATCCCTTTCTCACACTAGTCAAATGAGATGAGTTCCAAGCTTTCTTGGCAGAACAAACAAACTGTATCTAAGGGAATACACAAGTAATTGCTCTAAGCCTATGATTTTGCATTACCTGAACTCCTTAGTGGAGTAAAAGCTACTGGAGAGAAGCACCACTACAATACACAGACAAATGAGATCATAGTTAAAGCGTTCAAACAAATATGCAGTACTAGTACAAATGTCTGAAATACCTGCATGGGAATAAACCCTTTGGAACCAAAACAGGAGTTGGAGAGACCAAAACCCATTCTCCCCTTTATGCAAAGGGATGGCTAAAGAATCCAAAATAATGCTCAAACACCATAGGCTATCTGTTCCATAGATTAACTGATTAAAGAGAATACAAGTGGTCTTCCAGTCATTGTAAAATAGACAGACTGGGTAGACATAAGATTTTACTGGGCACAGATTTGAAGTTCAAGGCATTTTTAACCTGTGTGTTGCCATATTACTGGAATTTTCCCCTAAAAAGTCAAAGATCTGATTAGCACTATCTTACGGGTTTTCCATCCCTGTTTATGTCTGTGTCAGCTACTTGCCAGGCTCAGCATGATTTAACTAAAATACACACAGAATTTATATGTGTACATCAAAGTAACCATATTTCAATTGTTTTCCTAATAGGTTTCCAGACCAAGTATTTTTGGACAAATGTGAAAGGAGCAGCAGTTATTCATGAGAAGATACATAAAATCAATTGCTTGAAGAGAGGAAGCATGCATTTAATTCACTCCTCCTTACTCAAATTTATTACAGAACACTTTATAGATGTTTATGAATGAGTATTGGGAAAAAATACATCAGAAACATAGTAATTTTATAAAACATTTAAGCTGTCTATTCATGTTATGAGTGTGCAGTTCCATATGTGATCCAGAATGTATTAAATTATTTAACCTCTAGTGTAGCTTAAGGATTTTGATTCAGGTATAGCCATAACTCTTAACTCCTTTTTATGTCAGCAAATCTCATGTGGAATGAGACTGATTATATACCCGAAAGCTTAAAACCAGAGTTTTACCTTCATGAGCCCAAATGTGACGTTGAAGGTCTGATCCATTCTTCATAAAATAAAAATCACAGTAGGGACATTTCACAGCTCGTTTTCCAATAAGTCCTTTCAGCTGAACTCTTCTGCCAAGAATCTCAGAAATAGTAGTCATTGAAACCTCTGAGAGAAATGTAAAAGGTAATAAAAACCAGAAAGACATGAGGGAATTTGTTCTTTAAGTAATATTGAAAAGCTGGATCCTGATTCATTCCAACTTCTTAAAAGCTCTACTTCCCCTGCTGCCACTCAGATAAGACCTGAGCAAAGAACATAAGGACCTTATTTCCTGCAGGGTTTCAATTCACATCACTCAAAGCTATAATGATCAGAACGTCTGATAATCAGGCATAAACTATAAAGGGAAAAACAGACTCATGGAATAGTATGATTGGAAGGACCTCTAAGGTCACCTCTCCAAGCAGGGCCAACTTTGGAGTTCCAACTTCAAAGTTACATCAAGTTGCTCAGGGTCATATCCAGTCCTGTTCTGAACATATTGAAGGATGGGGATTGTACAACCTCTCTTGGCCCATTCCACTCTTTGACCACCAGTCAAAATTATTTCCCTAATTTCTGATAAGAACCTCCTTGCTTCAACTCATCTCCCTTTACTGTGAAATCCCAAGAAGATCCTGGCTCTGTCTTCTTTCTAATGTCCTATTAGACAGCTGAAGACAGCAATTAAGATTCTTCTCCGCGCCTTTGCTTATTCAGGTCAACACACTGCACTCTCTAAGTTTTTCCTTCATATGATCTAATGTTTTAGTTTTCCAGTGAAAAAGCTCAAAATAATGAAGTTTAAATGAAAATATCCCAAACATTGCCAAATGCTTTTAAAAAATAAATCAAATTACTCAGTGCTTTTCAGATGAATAAAATGGTATCTCTTAACTCAAGGGAAGTACAGCACTTGGGCAATCTAAATACTAAGACATGAAAGTTGATGACTTTATATGTCCAAGATCTTGTAAAATTTGTATCAAATATGATCTGTCATACCCAGTATCCTGATGATGAGTCCCAGAGTGGAATAAAAACTCCTGCCTTAACTCATATGCATAAGGAAAGCAGCCTAAAAAGGGAAATATAAAAGCCCACAAACTGAGCAGAGAGATGTTCTGAAGTACCCAAAGAAAAATAGAGATACAAGTCTGAACCTTCATCTGCCTTCTAAGGCTTAGATGCTTCATTCATGAGTGCAGACTAGTACGTCTGCTCAGTAGGGATCTATCTTATGTCTCAGACTATTAACAAGTATCAAATTAAATCAGTGGATAAAAAGGTAGATAATTCTGAGAGCTGTGACCAGAATCCAAGACTCCTCTTTCACTGCTCAGCATCCAAATCATTTGGCGATAAAGCCAAGCTCTCTTATCTCCTTGGTTTGAATACTGCTCTACCAAGGTCTACAGAGATTTTTGTCCTACTGCCTTCATAGGATCAGAATTCAACTCCTATCTCTGCAAACCTAGAAGGAGTACTGTTTTATTTCGTACTTTCTACTTGATGAAACAGAATAGACAAGAGATGGGTCATGCTGAATGATATTAAGGAAGGTGAGGGGAGCTCTAGAAATAGCATTTTAATGATAAATATGAGAGGGTTTCAGTTTAAATTAGTTTTTGATATGTCGTTTTAAAATCCAATTCTTTTAATAGTATCCATTTTCCCTTTCATCTTTATTATTTTCCATTTACACTTTAAAATTGCACTCATCCCACTGCAGTACTTGGTATTTTCTACCATCAGATCCCTCACATTTATTTGGCTTGTAACGAAGTATGCTGTTCAAATAAAGGATTTCCTCCTGATTACAAGGACAGCACAGCCAGGAGAAGATTTGTGCATTTGAACAGTGTTATTGCATAACTACTGCGTAGGCATATCTGAGATGTAGTATTTTGTTAGTACCAGGGAGAGTTATCTTATAAATCTAGTATTTTGCTTCCAAGTTCTATTCACCTGCAATATATGAATTAAAAATGAGTTAACAAAATAATAGGATGTGCAGATTTTCTTTTTTAATCTTACCTGTATTATAACCCAGAGTTTAAGAGAAGCCACTTTCTTGTGTCAAAAAATTCACACTATACTTTTAGAGGGATTCAGATCCCAAACAAATTGTTGAGAATCATTTAAATGCAGGAGTTTAGCATGTCAGGACTCCAGATTTAACTGGTGTTTCTGGACCCCTGATGCAGCTTACACTAATAATTCAGCAGTGCTGACCTATGGCAACCTGTAAGGGCATAGTATATAATGTACTGCTAGTCACAAATCGCATTATTTAGGGAGGCTTCTATGCTCCCTGGCTGAGACAGAAGAAAGGATTTTACAGGCATAGGTCTTGAGATTCAATTTCTATGCCTACTGCGTGACATACGGTATGACTGACTAGAGTATAGCACAGAAACCTTTCCTCATCTCAATTTGCTGCATCAGACATGTCCCCTGATGTATGACGAGCCCTTCAACCACACTGTTGTAAAGTGGTCTGCAAGTAAAGAGGTTTGGTAATGAAAGAGCTAAAGTGAGAGTTAGTCTGAAATTGAAGTGAAGGAAATTGTTTAAAACACGGGTCTAGCACTATCTAGTGGCAGTAAGAAGATAAGAAACTATTGCTTTACCTATTACGCTATAATTCTGTCAAAGACAAGAACAGTTACACCATTTTAATTGGATTTTTTCTTCCCCAAACTCAAGTTTTGAGTATGACCAATACTTCATTTCTTAATATTATGTCAGGTGATAAGTAATGCTGTAGGTGAGTTAATTGAAGTATGCTGGCCAATGCAGCCAACTCTCCTTCACCACAGTAGTAGCAGGCCTTTCTATCTGTCCTGGTTTCAGCTGGGACAGTTAATTTTCTTCCTGGTAACTGGTGCAGTGCTGTGTTTTGACTTTAGTCTGAGAATAATGCTGGTAATACACAGATATTTCAGTTGTTGCTCAGTGGCACTTACCCTGATCAAGGACTTTTCAGTCTCTCGCGCTCTGCCAGTGAGGAGGGGGCACAAGAAGTCAGGAGGGAGCAGGGACAGGACACCTGACCCAAACTGGCCAAAGGGGTATTCCATACCAGAGCACGTCATGCCCAGTACAGAAACTGGGGGGAAGTCACCTGGAAGGGACCGATCACTGCTTGGGCCTGGCTGGGCATCAGTCAGTGGGTGCTGAGCAATTGCATTGTACATCACTGCTGGTTATTGTTTATTTTCTTCCCCCTTTTAGTTTTATATCTCTCTCCTTGTTATTTCTCTTGTCATTATTATTAGCAGTAGTAGCAGTAGTATTATATTGTACTTTAGTTATTAAACTGTTCTGATCTCAACCCATGGGGTTTACATTCTTTTGATTCTCCTCCCCAACCCGCCCAGGGAGCGATAAAGGAAGGGGATAAGAGAGCAGCCAGTGCTGAGTTACTGGCTATGGTCACACCCCGACACCATTGAGAATAATGCTGGTAATACACAGATATTTCAGTTGTTGCTCAGTGGCACTTACCCTGATCAAGGACTTTTCAGTCTCTCGCGCTCTGCCAGTGAGGAGGGGGCACAAGAAGTCAGGAGGGAGCAGGGACAGGACACCTGACCCAAACTGGCCAAAGGGGTATTCCATACCAGAGCACGTCATGCCCAGTACAGAAACTGGGGGGAAGTCACCTGGAAGGGACCGATCACTGCTTGGGCCTGGCTGGGCATCAGTCAGTGGGTGCTGAGCAATTGCATTGTACATCACTGCTGGTTATTGTTTATTTTCTTCCCCCTTTTAGTTTTATATCTCTCTCCTTGTTATTTCTCTTGTCATTATTATTAGCAGTAGTAGCAGTAGTATTATATTGTACTTTAGTTATTAAACTGTTCTTATCTCAACCCATGGGGTTTACATTCTTTTGATTCTCCTCCCCAACCCGCCCAGGGAGCGATAAAGGAAGGGGATAAGAGAGCAGCCAGTGCTGAGTTACTGGCTAGGGTTAAACCACGACACAATCCAACTTAATACTGAGGAGGAAAGTAGGGACACATCAATGAAGCTTTGCTGAGCTCTCATCAGTCAGATTTAAACCAGTGCCTGCACCAGTCACACTTTGGCACTGAAGTCCCAAGGTCTGAGAAAGGATTGTTTACTCAGGCACAGTATGTTGACTCAGTGCACATTTTATGTTGTGCTTGCACTGATAAATCAGGGCACTAGAATGAGAGGTATAAACAGAGTTTGAATGGACTGCAGTGATTACCTTGGATCCAGCCAGGCTTCTCAGCTCCAGCTTAATATTGACCATACTACACCCCAGCTGGTTCTAGTAAGAGCCCTGTTGCAGACTTTAGTCGGCCCTGGAGGTAAAGCCCAGCCACGCATCAACTGAGTATGTGTAGCATCAGCTCGGGGACCTCTGCCCTCACACCAGTTACCTACAGACACAATAATGTGTAATAAATGCCTCTCTGTCAGTTTATGTATGGCCAGAGGGAATTTTATGTCTCCTGGGTTGTTATAGGATGTCTGTCTGCCTAATTCCAAGCTTCCCAATGGTTAATTTGAATTCACCTAGGTCCTCTTTTGGAAATGAGTTCTCTGCCAGATGAAGACAGGTTTCTTAGCACAATTACCTACTAGACTCCACACCACAGAAGCTGGAACAATGACTTTTTTTCACTCTAAATTCTAACATCTGCAAACCCAGTGCAATTCTTACACTAAACCAGTTAAATTAGGTGTAGACTCTTCTCTTTCTTTGGAATATAATCACATTACACTGCTCGTTCTAAACCTTTATCCCTTTATTGCAATAGACTGAGAAATTTTCCTTGATTTTTTCTTACCAGGGTGATTTGTCTTGATGTGAGATTTTATAAGTCGATCTTCAGAAAATGACTTTTCACACACAGGACAGGAATAACTCTTTTTATCCTTAAGCGAGAAAGGAAGAAAGAGATTGCACATTATCAGTCCACTGGTGTGATCACTATAGTCATTATTCAGTAATACATGGTTCTCAACAAAGTTATAATTGAAGGTTCAGTTTTTAAGGAAAAAAAATGAAGATATTTATAGTGAAGTAAGTGAAGGAGAAATACGAAAGTATTCTAAGCACACCATTAATCCCCCTGAATGAAAGGCTCCAAGTTACAGCACATGCGAATATGCACAATAAATGTAAGCATTATCTTCTGACTGACTCTTTAGAGAATCAAGAGTTGAAAGACGAGGTCACAGAACAGAAGGAAAGGTATTTGATAGAAGCAGTAATATTCCAGGCTTTTTCACAAATCTACTCTTCTGAAACCTAGGGATCAGATCTCATTATACTGAAGACACCCACCAGTACGTATATTTATAAAATGGCCTGAAATTGAGCACAAGAGTTAACAGGGACAGATGCCACTACTTACTCAGCGTCTGCATTTCTAACAACTTCATAAATATTCAGCAGTTTATGTATTGCCAATAAAGTATTATTCTACTATTTTTATTTCAAAGCCAGCCTGATGTTCTGGAAGATTAACGCTATCAAGGAAGTTC